ACTGATCCCTGCAGTTTGTGATTCCTTCCAGCTGCCTCTGCCAGTAGGGTGAGACTGAGGGAATGAGTCTCTGAGGAAGCTCCAGGTGCTACTTGCAGCCTTCCCCTCCCCCTGGGAGCGTTCCCAGAATTCCCAGAGACTCCAGGCATGGCTTTTCTCTGTTGTCGAGGATAATAAAAGCTCATTATTTATTAAGTGTAGTAATTTTTTATTTCTTAATAATGCATGCATGTGCTCCAAATTTAAAAGGTATGTAAGGTTTTTAAATTTTTTTTTTCAACGTTTTTTTATTTTTTTTTGGGACAGAGAGAGACAGAGCATGAACGGGGGAGGGGCAGAGAGAGAGGGAGACACAGAATCGGAAACAGGCTCCAGGCTCTGAGCCATCAGCCCAGAGCCTGACGTGGGGCTCGAACTCACGGACTGTGAGATCGTGACCTGGCTGAAGTCCGACGCTTAACCGACTGCGCCACCCAGGCGCCCCATAAAAGGTACATAAGGTTTTTAATCATGACAATTCTTCCTTTTCTCCCCCAGCCACTCAGTTCCCTTCCCCAGTGTTTAATGTTACCAATTTATTGTGAAGTCATCAGGAAATATTTATGTATCATAGAAAAAGTTTTTTCTCTTTTTAGCATGGTATGAACATTTGTCGGCACCAATTTTTCATTTTTGAAAAAATGTTTGAGAGAGAGAGAGAACAGGAGCAGGGGAGGGGCACAGAGAGGAGGAGACAGAGAATCCCAAGCAGCCTCTGCACTCTCAGTGAAGAGCCCCACTCGGGCCTCTAACTCACGAATCATGAGATCATGACCAGAGCCAAAAACCAAGAGTCAGATTCTTAAACCGACTGAGCCCACCAGGTGCTCCCATTTTTTTCATTTTTTAACTCAACAGTATAAAGCATGTTGGGCTTTGCTGCACTCTAAAGACCTATGCTCATAAACCCTGGCATGATTGCTTGAGGGTTTTTTGGAGGGGTGGGATACCCTGTAATAACATTGAAAAATTATGTATTTAACTTGCTTAGTTCTTACTGCTATTTTCCCACAACTATTATTATTTCTAGAGTAGTAGATTCAGAAAAATTATAAGGTGATCCAGATTACTGTACTGGGTCAGCTACCCACATCCTCAAATACATCCTCATCCTGTTGGCTAAGCACAGCCCACCTATGAACAGCTGCAGCTGAGGCAGCTCAGCTGGTTGGGGTGGTGCCTGCAGCTAGGGGAGAGTGTCTGTTCTTTGCTGAGCCAAAGTGGAGCCAGATCTTGGTCATAAGCAGGTGTCCCTCCCTCTCCACTAGCATCTGTTGCTGCTCTCATCATTCAGGGTCCCTGGAACACATTATTCCTACTTTTTGCCACTTTCCCTGAGGTTTCCCCTCTCTAAAGAGTGGCTGATGCAGTCCAGTCTGGCTCCTTCTCTAGCACCCTTCAGTAACTGTTCCTAGCCTTGGTCTTAGAAAGTTTATCTCAGTAACACAATTGGCCCAGATTAGAATGACCAGGATTTGTTATTTCTGAAAACTGTAAGGCCAGTTCATTCAGCCGTGTCTTACATTTACCCTAGGCATCCTAGCTGAGCATGCAATGGGAAAATTCTCCTTCCAGGAATTTTCTTTCTCCTGCTGGAAACCCATTCCTGATAAACATATTCTGTTACAATATGGAGAATAATATCGATGATTCTTAAACTACGGAGCAGCAAAATCACCTGGAGTGGCTGTTGAAATAGATTCCTCTGTCCTGTTCCTAGAGTTTTAGAATTTCTGATTTACTAGGTCTGGAGTGGACTGGAGAGTTTGCAATTCTGACAAATGCCCAAAGGATGCTGACGCTATTGGTTTGGGGGCCAGACTTGGAGAACCACTGCTCCAAATGTTAAACCTCTTCTTGAAGTCTTCTTCCACTTCCTGCTTTAACTGGAATCTTGCCATCCACTGCAGCCTTTGCAAGTTAATTCCTCCTCTCTCACTCCAGGTTTCTCTGTCTTCTGTTTCTGGCCTAGATTCTGTGGTCCTTTCCTTCAGTCTGTCATATCCCTTGACCTGTCTTTTTGCCCGGTTTACCCAGAAGAACCTCAAACTAACCTCTTCCTCCTCTGTTCCAATTCCCAGACCGCTGAGCCCATAAAGCTCATCAATCAAAAGTTCTTCATCCTGAAATCTCTCCCTTCAGACTCAGTACTCTCCAGTCCTATTTAGAAAATCAAGAGAAGTCACCAGAACTCCTTCTACCAAGGTATATATCAACCTGTCATCATGGTTGTGGTAGGCAGAATTATAAAGTAACCTCCAAGATTTTTTGCCCAAATCTGTAGAACTTGTTACTATAATGGATTTTATTCCCATGATTAGATTATAATACACAATTGATCTTTTTGTAACTATGTGGATGGTCAGAACCAAATCACATGGTGTTTTTAAAACCAGAAGTTTTTAAATTTTCTGACAGGTAGCAAAGAGGAAGTCACATTCCGAGTTTGAGAAAGACATGATGTGCTGTTGGTGGATTTATTTTAAAATGAAGGGGTCCAGGCATCTGGCTGGCTCAGTCAGTAAAGCATGCAACTCTTGATCTTGGGGTTGTAAACTGAAACCCCACATTGGGTGTAGAGATTATTTAAAATCTTAAAAAAAAAAAAAAAGTTAAAAAAAAGGAAGGGGCCATATAGCAAGGAAATGGGGCAGCTTCCAAGAGGTAAAAGCAATCGTAGTCAACAGCCAGCAAGGAAATGGTCACCTCAGTCCTACAGTACTTGCAGGGAACTCACTTCTGCTAATAGTCAAAATGACCTTGGGCACATATTCTTCTCCACAGCCTTCAGGTAATAGCCTAGCCCTGCCCACACCTCATTTTGGCGTTACAAAGTGCTAAGCTGAGAATCTATTCTACCCAGATTTCTGACCTACAGACCTATGAGATGATAAATGGGTGATGCTTTTATTTTTCATTTTTTAAAAAATTCAGACTTATTTTTTTCAGAGCCATTTTAGGTTCACAATGGAAGTGAGCAGAAACTACAGAGATTACCCATATATTCTGTGTCCTCACATACCCACAACCCCACCTCTCACATCAACACCAGAATGGTCCACTTGTTACATTCGATATCCTACCCTAGTGCACCTATCTCCCACAGAGGCTTCTGCCATGGGAAGTTGTGATTTTCCGTGTCTGCCTCTCTCTCCAATTTTTGGATCAGTGGTTTTGTCATGACCTCCATTCTTTGATGAATTTAGGGAGATTTGGTAATTTTTTAGTTCTTCTTACTTCTCAGGACAGAGTGAAGACTTCCTTCTACTCCTGAAACCAATACTATCCTATATATTAACTAACTTGAATCTAAATAAAAAGACTTCTTATCTCCTCATATGCTAGTCCAGAAACCGGAAGTCAACGGTTATTGTTTTAAGCCACTACGTTTGTTGAAATTAGTGACATGTCTGGAAGCTTCTTTTGGGCAGAGACCATCTTGTTTCATGTTCTAGTCTCAACTTTATTTATTTTGAGAGAGAGTTGCATGTGCACATTCGTGTGCAAGCAGGGCAGGGGCAGAGAGAGAGAGAGAGAGAGAGAGAGAGAATGTCAAGAAGGCTACATGCTGAGCATAGAACCCAACATGGGGCTCAATCTCATGACCATGGGATCATAACCTAAGCCAAAATCAAGAGTCAGACACTAAACTGACTGAGCCACCCAGGTGCACCTCTAGATTCAACTTCTTTTAAGTTTATTTCTTTTGAGAGAGAGAAAGCACAAGTTGGGGAGGGTCAGAGAGAGAGGAGAGAGAGAGAATTCCCAGCAGTCTCCACACTGCCAGTACAGAGCCCAATGTTCAAACTTCTGAGCCATGAGATCATGACCCGAGCTGGTCAGATGCTCAACCGACTGAGCCACCCAGGTGCCCCTAGACTTCTAACAGAATGTGAATTTATTAGAAGTACGGTTACATGCTCCAGTTGGAACCTGATTTGGAAGTTGTAGTGGATGCTTTGTTGTGCTACTGGTATCTGCCTAGTTCCCACTGCTGACTTTCGGACTAAAATATTTACCCTCCCACTTGCTGGGATGCCTAACAACTGACAACTTACAACTGACTTCCCCTATCCAGGGATTTGATCTTTCTTTTTTTTTTTTT